AATTTAAAGTACACGTTGTGATAACTTATCTTTTAAATTTTTTTCTCCAAAAACAAAAATGTCCAACCAAAAAATATTTTAAGATAATAATATCTATAGTAATAATTATAATTAAAATTTTATTGAGTTGACTTTGGTGTACACCTCAGTCAATTTTATATTTTTAGGGTGAATGAGCTGAGACAATTCAAGAATTCTATATTTAACAAAAATAAAATTTAATTAAAAAATATTAACACACAAATATTTTCTTCAAAGAACTACGTGGCTCTGATTCTCTATTGCATATGGAGATACGTAGGAGCATGAAATAAATCTTGTCAAGCCAAAAAATAATAATATTATATTTTTTATAAATGCATTAGTTAAATAAAATATATTTGATCATTTTAGTGTGATAAATATTTTATAATTATAAATAATTTGTTTAATTAATTAAAGGTAATCGTCTTAGGACAAACGTTGTGAGGTGCTAATACTTTCCTCACACGTAATCGACTCCCGAACTCAAAAATCTTGTTTTTGTAGACCATTTTCTATTTTGTGGTTTTTCCAATATTTTTCCGTAAAAAATAACATTGGTGGCGACTCCTTATTTTTTAATTTATTTTTCGCCGTCTCGTCGCGATCTCGGTTGCGACAGTGCTAAAGGCTTCCTCAAACACATTTGTGTGGGGAGCAATAAGGAATTATAGTTATTGTACCTTGGTGGTTTAGGGGCCTACCATTTTTGAAGTAACTTTCATTGTGCGTGCACAATCTTTTTAGCTTAGGGCTCACTCTTAATGTTGGTTGAGGACCAACTTTTGTGTTGACTTGCTTTGTATTCTTCCATTTTAATGAAAAGTGTGGTGTGAGTTCTTAGATCATTCATATCTTTAGGTGCATGCCAATAAAGGTCATTTAATGAAAGTCCTTTCTTTAATATGTATATAGGATGACAGTAAGGGCGACGTGGGGGTTATATGTTGCACTAATTCTTACCTTATCACGTTTGGCATGGTTTTTTTATCGTGCTTAGCATAAAGAGGATATAACCTTCTCTGTAGTACGAAATACAAATTGGCAGCTTATAAATCAAAATTGATATTTCTCCTTTTCCACATACAATAACAAAAAAGAGATTGAGGGCCAATTTCATTACTCAACATATAACCAACATCCTAGAGTGAGAATACTCACTCTCTCCTTACATTGATTAACAAACTCAAACAAATGCAAGCATATGGAGTGACCACTTTCTAAATCTTTAGGCAATTACTCGATTTTTTCAGAGCATGAAGAGAATAATGTAAACAGGAAAAATAAGAAGTCAATGTTGTCTACACTTAAAAGCCTAATTTATGAAACTACTCCTACTCTTATTTTCTTTTGAAATATAATAAAATATATTTTAAATAACCTAGGATCTAAATCATATCTTTTCCAATACATTTAATCATAAAATTAATTAAAACACATATTTTCCTTCAAATACTTATATAACAAAATAATTTTACAAACATTCCTTTATTTAATTAAAAACACTCATAATTATTTTAAAAGTCTCTAGCTATTTTATAAAATCTCTTTTAATTAATAAAATATCCTCTTAATTTAGACTAACGATCCCTTTATTTAATTTTAATATTCAATTTGGTCTCATTATTTTTAAATTGTTTAATTTGGTTCTTTGATTTTTTTATTTTATTTTTTATAAAAATGCTTAATGTTATCTTTCTGTTCAAATTGACATTAACATTGTTAATGAAACCTAATGGGAGGGCATCATTGAACATGATTTGAAAATTATAAGACCAAAATAAACATTAAAAAAATAGTGGGATCAAATTGAACATTTTATAAATAGAGAGACTAAATTGAACAAAAATTTAACTGACATTTTTTATTTAGATAAATATGAATTTTTTTTACCTATTTAATATTTTCTTATATTAGATAATTCCTTAATTTTATGATCATTTTTTTTCTTAATTCCAACTATTCAATTTGTTGACATTCATGATCTTATTAAAGTAAGTAATTAAAATAAAATTTAAATTTATCTAGACAAAAAAATGTTAAGATAAAATTTTATTCAATTCGGTCCCTATATTTTTAAAACGTTCAATTTGATTCAGTATTTTTAAAATATTCAATTTGGTCCTCTAAATTTGAAAAAATGTTTGATATTTTTCTTTCACCTAATTTTATTAACATCATTAATGTTAATTTAGCCAAAAAAATAACTTGGATCATTTTTTGAAAATTAAATAATTAGATTAAAATTTTTAAAAATAGTAAAATTAAATTAAACTCTAAAAATAATTAAAGCAACTAAAAATATGATCTAATCTTTAATTTATTTAAAAAAATTTAGGGTGTATTCTCTATCTCCTCAAAGTGTTCCTCTCCACCTTGTAGTGATGACAACCCTCCTTTACTCGTAACTCCATTTGTCATGGACTTTGTTGCCCCATCTCATCGTTCAATCTACCTCACATTAATCCTCCAACCTCCAATTCCATTAACCATTTATTACCCAAAGCTCTACACTAAAGCTCTTGCCTGTGCATGCCCAATTCCAACTACACCGTTTGGTTGAGACCGTAATAACACAGTACCATTTTGCTACTTTAAGTGTATTTTCTTCTTTTACCAGTATGAATGAAACATTTTATTTTCTCAATTCTATATTTTCTGTAGTTGCCACTCTAATTTTCTAGTACTTCCTTAACAAAATGTATCAGACAAAGCTAAAAATTAAAGTAATCGCACAATTAATTAAATGTCATAATTTCAATGTGAAGACAAAATTTTTAATATTTCGGGATAGTTAAATTTTTTCATCTTTTCAGAGAAGAGTTGTTTATAATATATTTATAGATGCACAAGAAGAAATTAAGAAAAATGTATATCTTTATCCCAAATGAAAATACTTATTTTTAAATGAATTAAAGTATTTATAAGATAAGTTTAATATTTTCATCACACTGCCACGAGTGTACCATCATCGGAAATCGTAAAAAATATGAAGTGTTCAACTTTGGTGGGCAGTATCCCAAGATGGAAAATTTTAGGCACAGTCGTCACCATTTATGGACGGGTTGCAATTTTTGAAGCTGCTTACAGTAATTTACTGTAATGTCGACCAGACGAGCACATTGTTCACATTCTTGTAATATTTATTTCTTTGATATTGTTTTACATTTTGAATTTTTGATCTAAAAATTACAAATATGAAATAACTATTCATGTCAAATACCATGATTTTAATAAAAACATTATCCCTTCCGTAAATTCTGAATATGTTTTTTTTTTTTTTAATAATGACACAAGACTTGAGAGAGAATAAAACAGGTTAACTTTTTGTAGTGATTCTCTATCCTTCAAAAATTATATAAATGGTGATTATTTTTCTTACCAGTAATTAAATAATCACTGGTATATATTTATAATCATTAATATTATTATTGACACATATGATCATAAAGATTCACTAAATTATTAAATCGATTAAACATATAAAATAATGACTAATAAATAATAACTTTTAATGATTAATATTTAGTAACAATTATATTCCTGTCATCATAAAATTATTATTAAAAGTTTAAGACTCTCATGAGAGGAGAGTGGGGACACATGCCTCCACTACCATTTTACACACACACACACACATATATATATATATATATATATATATTATATACAAAAAATAATATATTTTTAAAATAAAAATTATATT